TCTGGAGAGCATTATGCTGAGTGAAATAAGTCAATCACAAAAGTACAATTATTGTATGAGACCACTATTATAAAAACCCAAGAAAAGATTTACACAAAGTAAAAAATAATCTTAGATGGTTAACAGAGAAGAGATGGGTGGGGAGGGGAAATCACTAACTAGATAGTAGAAAGTTAACTTTGGTGAAGTGAAAGAGAACACACAGCACAATTTGACCAAGGCAAAGTCATAGAAGCTTCCTAGACACATCCAAACACGTTGAAGGACTGAGTTGGGGGGCCAAGAGCTGGGGACCATGGTCTCGGGGGACACCTAGCTCAGTTGGCATAACTTAGTTCATCAAGAAAATGTTTTATGTCCTTATTTTGGTGAGTATCTCATCTGAGGTCTTAAAAGCTTGCGAATGGCCATCTAAGATACATCTACTGGTCCCATCACATTCGGAGCAAAGGAGAATAAAGAAAACCAAAGACACAAGGAAGATATTAGTCCCAAGGACTAATGGACCACATGAACCACAGCCTTCAGCAGCCTAAGCCCAGAAGAACTAGATGGTGTCAGCTACCACCACCAACTGCTATGACATGGGTTCACAATAGTGGGTCCTGGACAAAGCAGGAGAAAAATGTAGAATAAAATTCAAATTAACAAAAAAAGACCAGACTTACTAGTCTGACGGAGACTAGAGGACCTCTCGAGACTATGTTCCCTGAACACCCTGCTAACTCAGACCTGAAGCCACTTCTGAAGTCCACCTTTCAGCCAAAGATTAGACAGACGTATAAAACCAACAATAAATAACACATGTGAGTAACATGCATCTTAGTTCAGTCACGTATACAAGACCAAATGGGCAGCATCTGTCGGAAAACAAAGATGATAAGGCAATAAGGGACAAGAAAACTGTATACAAATGGACACGGAGAACCCAGGGTGGAAAGGGAAATGGGGAGCCTGCTGACACATTGTAGGGATTTCAAACAATGTCACAAAACAATTTATGTATAAATTTTTTGATGACAAACTGATTAACATTGTAAACTTTCACCTAAAACAATATATACATAGAATTCTCAAGGAGATGCAACAAAAGTGTTAAAACAGATTTTTAGAACTGCAAAATCATGTCAGAATTGGAAAACTAAGCAAGAGAGCTAACAAAGAAAAGGAATTAAAGGAACAGATAAAGAAGGGATGATAGAGCAGAACTTGTCATTGTTGGGTGCCCTAGAGTCGGTTCCAACTCATAGCGACCCTGTGTACAACAGAACAAAACACTGCCCTGTCCTGCGCCATCCTCACAATCTTTGCTTTCTTTGAGCCCATTGTTGCAGCCGCTTTGTCAGTCCATCTCTCTGAGGGTCTTCCTCTTGTTTGCTGACCCTCTACTTTACCAAGCATAATGTCCTTCTCTAGGGACCGATCTGATAACATGTCCAAAGTAGGTAAGACCAAGTCTCACTATCCTTGCTTCTAGGGAGCATTCTGGCTGGACTTCTTCCAAGACAGATTTGTTTGTTCTTCTGACAGTCCATGGTACAGTCAATATTATTCACCAACACCATACATAATTCAAAGGGATCAATTTTTCTTCGATCTTCCTTATTCATCATCCAGTTTTCGCATGCATATGAGGCAATTGAAAATACCATGGCTTGGGTCAGGTGCACCTTCATCCTCAAGATCACACCTTCGTATTTTAACACGTTAAAGAAGTCTTTTGCAGCAGATTTACCCAGTGCAATACGTCTTGATTTCTTGACTGCTGCTTCCATGGTGTTGATTGTGGATCCAAGTAAAATGAAATCCTTGACAACTTCAATCTTTTCTCCATTTGTCGTGATGGTGCTTATTGATCCAGTTGTAAGGATTTTTGTTTTCTTTATGTTAAGGTGTAATCCATGCTGAAGGCTGTTTTTGATCTTCATCAGTAAATGGTTTAAGTCCTTCACTTTCAGCAAGCAAGGTTGTATCATCTGCATATCATAGGTTGTTAATGGGTTTTCCTCCAATCCTGATGCTGCTTTCTTCATAAAGTCCAACTTTTCAGATTATTTGCATAACATACAGATTGAATACGTATGGTGAAAGGATACAATCCTGACTCACACCTTTTCTGATTTTGAACCATGCAATATCCCTTTGTTCTGTTCAAACAACTGCCTGCTCATCTATGTACAGGTTCCACATGTGCACAACTAAGTGTTTTGGAATTTCCATCTTCACAATGTTATGATCCACACAGCTGAATGCCTTTGCATAGTCAGTAAAACACAGGTAAAAATCTTTCTGATATTCTCTGCTTTCAGCCAAGAGCCATCTGACATCAGAAATGATAATCGCTCGTTCCACCTCCTCTTCTGGCGTTTTTGAATTACCATGTTTTTATGCAGATAACACATGCCTTCTGTGTTTGTTTGCCAGCTACACTCCCCTCGCCCAGTAAGTACTTTCAGAAGCACGCTATGCTTTTTTTTCCCACAACAACATGTAAAAAAAAAATTCCCACCGCCACTTATGAAAATACACCATGGGGGAGGACACAATTGGCAAACAAACATACAAGTCACAGATTATTAGGGTAAAAATACAGTATCTTTGGCATAATTTTACTTACATGTGACATTAATGATAGTGTTTGATAATTTCTGCATTCTGTTGGATCACCTTTCTTTGGAATGGGCACAAGTATAGATTTCTTCCAGTTGTTTGGCCAGGTAGCTGTCTTGCTAGTTTTTTTGCATAGACGAGTGCTTCCAGCCTTGCATCCATTTGTTGAAACATCTCAATTGGTATTCTGTCAATTCCTGGATCCTTGTTTTTCAGCTTGAGCATGGGCTTCTTCCTTCAGTATCATCCGTTCTTGATCATATGCTACCTCCTGAAATGGTTGAACATCAACCATTTCTTTTTGGTACAGTGACTGTGTATTCCTTCCATCTTCTTTTGATGATTCCTGCATCATTCAGTTTTTTGCCCGTAAAATCCTTCAGTATTGCAACCCAAGCCTTCAAGTTTTTCTTCAGTTCTTTCTGCTTGAGGAAAGCTGACTGTGTTCTTCCTTTTGGTTTTCTAACTCCAGGTCCTTGCACATGTCATTTTAATACTTTGTCTTCTTGAGCTGCCCTTTAAAATCCTCTTTTACTTCATCATTTCTTCCTTTTGCTTTAGCTACTCTACATTCACGCACAAGTTTCAGAGTCTCTTGAGATATCCATTATGGTCTTTTTTTTTTTTTTTTTCTCTGTCTTTTAATGATGTTTTGCTTTCTTCACGAATGATCCTTGATGTCATTCCACAAGTCATCTGGTCTTCGGTCATTAGTGTTCAGTGCATCAAATCTATTCTTGAGATGGTCTCTAAATTCAGGTGGGATATACTCAAGGTTGTACTTTGGCTCTCACGGACTTGTTTTAATTTTCTTCAGCTTCAACTTGTACTTGCATATGAGCATTGATGGTCTGTTCTGCAGTCGGCCCCTGGCCTCGTTCTGACTGATGATGTTGAGCTTCTCCATCGTCTCTTTCCACAGATGTAGTAGATTAGATTTCTGTATATTTCATCTGATGAGGTCCACGTGTGTAGTCTTCCTTTACGTTGTTGAGAAAAGGTATTTGGAATGAAGAAGTCATTGGTCTTGCAAAATTCTATCATGCGATCTCCAGCATTGTTTCTATCACCAAGGCTTTATTTTCCAGCTACCAATCCTTCTTTGTTTCTCACTTTCACATTCCAGGCACCAGTAATTATCAATGTACCTTGATTGCAGTTTGATCAATTTCAGACTGCAGAAATTGGTAAAAATCTTCAGTTTCTTCGTCTTTGACATTAGTGTTTGGTGCATAAATTTGAATAATAGTCATATTAACTGGCTTTCCTTGTAGGAGTGTGGATATTATCCTATCACTGATAGCGTTGTATTTCAGGATAAATCTTGAAATGTTCTTTTTGACAATGAATGTGACACCATTCCTCTTCAATTTGTCGTTCCCACCATGTAGACCATATGATTGTCTGACTCAGAATGGCTAATATCAGTCCATTTTAGCTCACTAATGCCTAGGATATCAATCTTCAGGTGTTCCATTTCATTTTTGACAACTTCCAATTTTCCTTGATTCATACTTTGTATATTCCATATTCCGATTATTAATGGATATTTGCAGCTGTTTCTTCTCATTTTCAGTCATGCCACATCAGCAAATGAAGGTCCCAAAAGCTTTACTTCATCCATGTCATTAACATCAACTCTACTTTGAGGAGGTAGCTCTTCCCCAGTTGTATTTTAAGTGTCTTCTACCCTGAGGGGCTCATTTTCCGGTGCTATATCAGGCAGTGTTGCACTGCTGTCCATAAGGTTTTCACTGGCCACTTTTTTTCAGAAGTAGATCTCCAGATCCTTCTTCCTAGTCTGTCTTAGTCTGGAAGCTCTGCTGAAACCTGCCCATCATGGGTCATTCTGCTAGTATTTGAAATACCAGTGGCATAGCTTCCCGCATCGCAGCAACACACAGGCCACCACAGTACGACAAATTGACAGACAAGTGGTGGACCAGAACTTAACCAGAACTGAATTAAAACCTGAAACTTCAAATTAAAAAGTTGACACTGTGTCCCAGACATGGTTGATGAAAAAGACACACACATATCCTGATAAGTTTTCTTAAGTGTAAAGGGGGGGTGGGGGGGCAAACAAACCCAGGTCTCTGGAACTCCAAAGCCTATTCTGTTTTTGGCTATATATACTAGAAATCTATTTAAGAGGCGTCAGATAAACAAAGATCTTACAAAGTATAATTTTCCTTTGGCTCGTGTTTTAAATACTACTTAACTGTGCACATGAACCTTTACCATTTTTAGGGTTTAAACATTTTTGATTGTTGATAGAACCTACCTAGACTTAGATTTCCTGAACTCTTCAAGTTTATGAATGTGATTAGTTTCATCATAACCCTGCACTAATGTTTGAAACCCTAAAGTATGGAATTTTTGTTTTACAGGCCTGTGGGCTTTCTCCTAGAGATGTTACCACCATTAAGCTACTCAATGAAACTAGAGACATGTTGGAAAGGTACGTATACTGCATACTGCATGTAACAGGAAAAAATGTGTTTCTCCTTTGAATGTGCTTATGTTCATTTTTTAATTTTTTATGAACAACATATTCAGCATAATATTATGTTAAAATTAAATTTTTAATCTATTCCCCTGCTGTTAGGTATGATTTTTATACCTAAACTATTGGTTCCCTTATTATGGTAGTGGAAGAAGTCTTGTTGACCCACTTTTCCAACCTGGAGATTCTGATACGCTGTTTGAGGGGCTGGACGGTAGTTAGCATTTGTATTTTAATAAAAGCTCTCCAGAGGAATTCTGGTATACCCAGTGTATGCTGGTAAATGTTTAACAGCTGGCTGAGAGAGGGGGCAGCCATAAAATTCTTGCCAATTTCTGTGGTGTTAAAACTCCCACACAGCAGAATTCAGGTTACCACCTTGAAGTCACTGAATGCAGAGTGGGGAGGAGATGTGCACAGTCAGCTCTTGAAAGACAGCTCCAGCTAATCCTCACACATACACACACACTCCATCCGGAGAACTACTCCCCTATAATGTTTCTAAAAACTTTGAGTGATAGAAGTTCCACATCTTCTCTAAAAGAAGTATTTCTCTTTTAAATCACCCAAAAGAGAGCTGAGCTGTTGTAATGGAGAAAGCACCAGCTTATGTACCCGAAGACCTAGATTCAATGTTGGCTCTCCTGTTTATAAGCTGTTAAAACTTTGTTGAGCTTTTTAAACTCTTTGAGGTAGTTTTATCATTGTAAAGTATGAGTAGTAATATTTGTCCTACCCACTTTTATCATAAGTGATAAAAATATCAAAGTCCCTTTTAAATTAAAAGTACTGTATATCTCCTTGGGATAATTTAAGTCTATTTTCTCAAGTTCCCATATCTGAGATAATTATATACCCTCAATAATTTTTTCATGATCTTGAATAAAATCAGCAAATATTTAGGTTAATTCAGCTACTGAATCCACTGTCTGAATTCATCAAGTCTTCTTCAACTTCAAAATTCAACTTCAAAATCCTGATTTTCTAGACTAGCGATCTCCACTTTTTTTCTTATTCATTCAGATTTCCACTAGTCCACTCCTTGAAGCTCTAGAAAAGGTCATCAGTGATCTTTTGCCAAGTCCAGTGAACCCGTATGTTCACCTTGCTTGTCCTTTCTCTGATATTTGACACTGTTGACCAAGCCTTTCTTAAATTCAATTCTCCAATGGCTTCCATGACAATGTAATCTCCTATTTTTTCTCCTAACTCTCAGATTATTTCGTTTTAGGTTCTTCAATCTCTATCTTTCTTTAAACATTAGTGCTTCCCAGGTATTTATTCTTTTTTATCCTCATACTGCTCTAAGCAATTTTGTATACTCACATTGCTTTTACTACTGTTGGTATGTTAATAACTTCCAAATTTATAGCCTTAGCCCTGTCCACTCCTATGAGCTGGTCTGGATTGAAATTTCTTCATGTCAAAGATAAAACTAATTTGTTCATTTACTTATTTATCTTACTCAGTTTTTTATCCATCAAATACTTATTGACCATTTATGGTATATTAGTCACTGTTCTAGATGCTAGAAAATGTCAAGTAAGTTTAATTTCATTGATGAAAAATAAAGCAGGTTAAGGAGCTAGAGCGTGAACAGGATGCTGTTTTTGAGAAGGTGGTCAGAAGTGGCCTCTCCAAGATATTATTTGAACAGAGACATGAATGTTCTGTGGGTATGAACCATACAATCAGGGAGAAGATGGTTCTAGGCACGACAGGTGCAGAGATGCTAATGCTTGGCTTGTTCAGTGAACAGCAAGGAATCCAATATGCTGGAGCACAGTTAGCCGTGAAGAGTGATAGGGAAATGAGATTGGAGAGGCAGCAGGGGACTAGATGATGTTGGGTCTTATAGACCATAAGGAATTTGTTTGTTTTTTTTTATTCTGAATTTTATGGGAAGCCGTTGGAAAGTTTTGAGTGGAATAATGACATGGTCTGTGTTTATAAAGGATCTCTCTCTCTCTCTTACTGCTCTATGGTAAATTAGCTATAAAGAGACAAGAATGCCATCAGGGAGCCAATTTTAAGAATTGCAGTAGTCTGAGCAAGAGATAACTGTAGCTTGGACTGGGTGGTAACAGTGGCGGTAATTACAAGTGATCAAATTATGGATTTATTTTGAAAGTTGAACCAAGAGTATTTATTTAATTTGATATGGGTTATAAAAGAGGAGGCATTGGGGCTGGGTATTGGGAGTTGCCATGTTTTGACCATGTTAAGTTTGAGGTGTTTATGATGTATTCAAGTGGATATGTCTATTCACAATTGAATAAGCAAGTCTGGAACACAAGGAAGATTTCAAGGATAAAGATAAATATTTGGGAGTCATCAGCTTATAGATGGTATTAGGAAAAGATAGAGACTAGAAGAGGACTGAGTCAGCATTTAGAGTTTGGGAAGGGGAGAAAGAGCCAGCAAAGGAGACTGAACAGTGGTGGCCAGTGAGATAGAAAAAAACAGCAGAAGAGGGAGGTGTTCTGTAAGATGATTGAAGAAAATGTTTCAAGAAGAAGAGTATAATTAGTTGGGTCAAATGCTAATGAAAGGTCAAGTAAGATAAGGTGTGAGAAATGACCATCAGATGTGTCAAGATGGAGGTCGTTTGGTGATCTTGTTAAGAAGTTTCAGTGGAGCAATGGAGATGAAAACTTGATTGAAAAGAACAAGAGTTGAGAAGTATAGACAATGAGTATGTACAACTGTTTTAAGAAGTTTTGCTTTGAGAGTTACAGAGAATCGGGTAGTATTTGGAATTGAATGTGGGATCCAGAAAGTTTTGTTTTTGTTTTTGTTTTTTAAGCATTTTTAAACAGCATTTTACTAGGCTGTAAACTCTATGAGATCATGAATTTTTGTCTGTTTAGTTCATCGAAGTATTGTCAGTTCCTAGAACAGCATGTAGTGAATGCTCAGTAAGTACGTACTGCATTGAACTGATAGGAGAGGGAGAATTGACATAGGAAAGCAGAATAGTTATGAAACCAAGGACCTTTAGTAGGAGAGAGGCATGGAATTCAATACACAGTAGAAAGGTCAGCTCTAGGAGTCTCAGGAGAGATGGCTGAGGGTAGGTACAGATACGTGTAAGTAGGTAGATGTGGTGGGGCAAGTGTGTGAAAGTTTTCTTCTAATTGCTTATATTTTATTGTATGTATGAAAGAGGAAGCAAGATCACTTAATTCAAAAAACCACCTTTGTTTCTTTCAGTGGTCTAATTGAATCCAATTTAATAAGAAGAATAAAAATTGACATTTTCTGAGAGCTTATTAAAAGAGGCTCTGGTAGCGCAGTAGTTAAAGCACTCAGATGCTAACCAAAAGGTTGGTGGTTCGAACCTACCAGCCGCTTTGCGGGAGAAAGATGTGGCAGTCTACTTCCATAAAGATTTACAGCCTTGGAAACCCTATGGGACAGTTCTATTCTGTCCTGTAGGGTTGCTATGAGTCACAATCAACTTGATGGCACTGAGTTTTTTGTTGTTGTTTTTGAGAGCTTATTTTGCTCCAAGCACTTTCTGTACTGCTTTACATATCTTAACTCATTTAATCCTTACAATAACCCTAAGAGGTAAGTATTATGATGATCTTTTCTTCAGTTTCTATCCCTGTATCATTCCCACCACCCCCTTGGGCCCTACCATATTTCATTTAAAAGAGAACCAAAGGTGTTAAACATAAATTTACCAAATGACCCAGCAGTTTCACTCCTAGGTATATACCCAAGAGAAATGAAGACGTACGTCCACACAAAACTTATTCACAAATGTTCATAGCAACATTATTCACAATAGCCAAAAAGTGAAAATAATTCCACATGTTTGTCAATTGGTGAATGGATAAACAATAGAACCCTCTTCAGCAATAAAAAAGGAATGAGCCATTGATACGTGCTACAGCATAGGTGAACCTCAAAATCGTTATGTTAAGTGAAAGAAGCCACACACAAAAGACCACGTATTACATGATTCTGTTTATATGAAATATCCAGAAAATCTATAGTGACAGAAAGTAGATTAGTGGTTGCCTAGGTGTGGAGGTAGGATGGAAATTGACTGCAAATGGTAACGAGGAATCTTTTGGGGGGTGATGAAGTATTCTAAAATTGAATTGTGGTGATGGTTGCACAAGTATGTAAATTTACTAAAAATTACTGATTTGTACACTTAAAAGAGGTGAATTTTATGACATAAATTCTACCTCAATAAAGCTGTTTAAAAAGAAAACTAAAGAAAAAAGGCAGATTGACAGGGACACATACTAATTGACTAAGGAAGCTGAACATAGCTAGGCATTTTCTATCTTTCATAATACTCTTATATGCTATTCTTTCTATCAAAGAGCTTTTATAAGGTATTAACATGGTGTAATAAAAGCCTGAACTTTAAGATCAAAAAGGTCTGGTTTCAAATTCTAGCCCCTCACTACCTAATTACAGACTTTTGGGCAGTTTCTCTCAAATCTTTAGTTCCCCATCTGTATACGATAATACATGTGAGAGTTGAAACTCAGTGGAACTGCCTTGTTTTTCCAGGTCTCACAAGTTTTCCACCTTTGACAGGGTGCAGTCTTACCATTTTTCTGTCGCTGGTTTTATCGGAAAATATTTTAGTTTTCCCTCTCTAACAGGTCTCTGCCTTACAGTGTCCGGCTTTCGCAGGTTTTACTGTAATGTTTTCTACCTCCTTGGAATATTATGGTAGAGTGTGCAAAGCAAACCAGTAATCTGACAGTGACTATAAGAGGATTCAAGAGTGCCTCAAGAAAAGTAATACTATTAATATTTTTAAAAATACATTGTACAAAGTGCTAATATAAGAAAATCTAGAAAAATGGATGAATATTGTCTTTGTGTTGTGCTTCTTTGTGAATTCTTTTTTGTGTTAATTTTTTAATTGACTACTTGATGTATTTATATAATGTTTTAGAGTTTAAAAACTAGATTTTGACTAGAAATGTTGGTGGCTGTCAAAGGCAGCCACATAGTTATTGAACTTTTTCTCTTCCTTTAAGAATCTAAAAACTAATTTATGCTTCTTATTTTACATAGTCCAGATTTTAGTACAGTTTTGAATACCTGTTTAAACCGAGGTTTTAGTAGACTTCTTGATAACATGGCTGAGTTCTTTCGACCTACTGAGCAAGACCTGCAACATGGTAACTCCATGAATAGGTAAGATAACATATAAAAATGATAATCTGATGAACGCTCTGAAAAAAAGATGCTTTGGATATGTTTCATTTATGTTGCAAGTAATAAAATATCTTAGGGGATAAATTTGTGTGTCTCATTTTTCAACAAATTAAACTCTGTTAAGCCAATAACTTATTTATTAGTAGAAGCTTCTTCTAGATTCAATATTAAAACTTGCATTTTTTCCACTTTGTTATAAAGCTACCTTCCTATAAATCCTGTTATAAACCTACCTTCCTATAAATCAAATTCCAGGTTTTTTTTTTTATTCTTTAGAATACAAAACCGACAATGTACTAACATTTTAATGTATTCTCTAATATTATTCCAATACTGCATGCCATAATGAACACACATAATTCAATACTTTGGTCATTGCAATAATTAGGCCTTCTTGTTATAGATTCTCATTTTATGAATTATCTTTCTTCTATAAATACATAAATTTATTCATTTTCAGCCCTTATTATATAGGGTTGGAGATATTTAGTACAATTGTTAGTAATTTTAATCATAACCATTATTACTAAGTCATGGACTCATGCTGCCAAAATGTATCTTAGTGTTTTATTATATCTTTATCATCTCAATGTGAGCATCCTTGAACTCAAATTAGAATTTACATACTTCAGGAACTCTGTTTTCAGTTTTTATATTAAACTCAGAAAGTAATAGGCATTAAATCAGTGTTGACTGGCTATAAATTATTAAATCTTAAAATTAGGGAAACAATAACTGATATGCAATCTGTATGTGCAGTACCCAGTTTAATTCTTAAATACATAGAGCAAGACATTGTTTGTCCAACTATATGGGGCCCTTCTTTATTGTATAGGAAAGAATAATTTAAAATTAACATTGAGCATTTGGAATGGTTAGAGCCTTAAAAGTTATTTTCTGAAGCAATTTAAATATTACCCTAAAATCTTCTTTAGTGATTTATAGAAAAATTAATTTCAGCCCAAGACCAGTCTTATATACTCTCTACATCAAGGTGCTCCCAATTAGCAAGATTTCACTCTAATCCGTACCTAGCAAGTTATTTGTTATTATTAGTAGTTCCAATCTGTATCTAACAATTTATCACCCAAGAAGTGATAAATAATTGTAATAGTCGTTTTAACATGAAAAAATATTTGGTGTTTTACACTGTGGAATTATAAAAGTTGCCCTACAATTGTATCAGCTGTTAATAGTCTTCCTTTTCTAAACTCCATTTTCTATACCTTCATGTAGAACCTACATGTGCTACATTAAATTGTAGTTTTATTGCTCAGTTACATTTTAGGTCTCCTGTGAAAATTAAAGACTATCTTACGCCCTTTTATATCTCTATACACAAAGTAAGCACTCAGTAAATATTTTCTAAGTTTATTTCATACCTATAACCAACTTCATGCTCGATGATCAAAGAGGCAAAAATATCATTATTTATACATGCTTTGTCAATTCTGAACCCTCAAGAGGATCAACCAAAAAATTATTCAAACTAATAAAAACTCAAATAATGCATATTGTTGTTGTTTGGTACCGTCGAGTCCATTCCAGCTTATAGCGACCCTATGTGCAACAGAACAAAACACTGCCTGGTCCTGTGCCATCCTCACAATCATTGCTGTGTTTGAGCCCATTGTTGCAGCCACTGTGTCAGTCCATCTCACTGAGGGTCTTCCTCTTTTTCGCTGACCCTCTACTTTACCAAGTATGATGTCCTTCTCCAGGGACTGGTCCCGCCTGATAACACGTCCAAATATGCTTCTAATGAGCGTTCTGACTGTACTTCTTCCAAGACAGATTTGTTCATTCTTCTGGCAGTGCCTGGTATGTTCAGTACTCTTCACAACACCGTAATTCAAAGGCATCAGTTCTTTTTCGGTCTTCGTCATTGTCCAGCTTTCACATGCGTATAAGGCAATTGAAAACCCTATGGCTTGGGTCAGGCACACCTTAGTCCTTAAAGTGACATCTTTGCTTTTTAACACTTTAAAGAGATCTTTTGCAGCATATTTGCCCAATGCATATTACATATACGTACAATATAACGTGTGTATATTCATCTATTTTTTTAAAGAAAACCCTTTCAGTTGAGTCAATTCCGACTCATAGCAACGCTATAGGACAGAGTAGAACTGCCCCATAGGATTTCCAAGGAGCGGCTGGTGGATTCGAACTGCTGACCTTTTAGTTAGCAGCTGAGCTCCTTAACCACTGCGCCACCAGAGCTTCTATTAATCTATACATAATGAATATTTAAAAATCAACAGCTCCCAGTAATAACCCAATAGAAAATATAATGGATGAAGATCTCACCTGTAAGGAGAGTGATACAAATCTAAAGTATGAATATAGATATAAAAATCCAAAATAAAATACTAGCAAATGAAATCCAGAAATATACAACAATAAATGCAGTATTTGTTTTTTTATTATACAAGTATGATGATAGATATTTTTCAGAACACTACCGCATTGAATTCTTAAAATAACCCTAGGAAATAAGTACTAGTATTTTCCTCATTTTACATATGAGGAAACAGACACAGAAATTAAGTAACTTCAGGTCAGCTGACTAGCAAGGAGTAAAGCCAGATGTTAAATCATTTCTGTCTGACATTAGAGCCCACAATTTTTAATCATTATACTGTGGCACATGACCAATTAGGGTTTATTTTAAGAAGGTAAGGAGGGTTAAAACATTAAGAAACTATTATGTTAATCCATAACATTAATAAGTTAATAGGAAAAAAAAAATCTTCAATGCTGCTGAAAAGACATTCAATAGAACTGAATTATCTATTATTGATAAAATATTTTACTCAAAAACATACTTTGTATCATAAAGGAAGATTTTAAATTTAAAGTAAATATCATACTTACTGATAAAACACTAGAAAGGTTTCCATTAAATTCAAAAACAATATGAAGATGGTCACTGTTGACATATTTATTCAGCATTGTTCTATAGTTCTTACCAACACAGTAAGGTTAGAAGACCAGTTTTGAGAACCAAAGCAGAAGGCCACTGGTTTTTGTATTTTTATCTTGCAGATAGACAACTTACCAAACATCCGTACTACTTCTGATCTTCTACGTTAAATTCATCTCATATTCAAAAATTGATACCATTTTTGGAAAGAGAAAAAATAATTATTGTTATATGAAGATGTCACGATTGTATACTTAGAAACTGTAGATCAAAACAAGCTTTGTAATCAATATTGATGCAAATGGCATATTGTTTGCAATATATATGTCATACAAAGAGATTAATTATATATACAAAACTTTACACATCAATCAAGGAATGAAATACCCAGAGAAATAAATGGTCCAAGGACACGAACAGATAATCCACAAAAGAGAAGATAAAAATGGCCAGTTTGTTCGCTCATCTAACATCTGTGTATCACACACCTGCTATGTATCAGGCCAAGTACTAGGTCTCTGTCCTCATGGATCTTACAGTTTAGTAGGGGAAATAGACTGTAAACATGAGTCAGAATTGACGGCAACAGGTTGTTTTATAGTGAGTTTTGTAAAGGAACATTAAACATACAATGGAGACCTAGAACAAATGTGGAAAATCAAGCAAAGTTTCTCTGAGGAAATAACATTTGAACTGAGAACTAAAAGATGGTTAGCTATTAGGTGAGGCCTTGAAGTAGAGTGAAGCAATTGACATCCTAGGTAGAAACCACAGCATGGGCAAAGCCTTTGCAGACTGGAAGAAGAATGGTGTGGTGGTGGAATAATAGATGGAACCAAGGAAAAAGTAGTGTCAGCTAAAGCTGGAGAATTTGACAGGTTACAAATTCTGGTTATGCTGAAGACGCTGGGAAACCACAGAAGGGTTTTGAGCAGGAAAGTGACATGATGGAATTAATGTAGAATCACACTGATACTTTATGGGGAAAGAATTGTGAAAATGGGGTTTGGGGTAGAGCATAGGATTAGATGAATGAAGACTCTTATTGACTCGACAAGTATGTATTGAACACTCACTATGCACCTGATACTTTAATGAGTAATACAGTGAGTAAGATAGACATGGTACCTAACTTCATGATCTTCTGTGATAGAGGGCTAGAGAGACAGCAAACAAGTAAACAAAATAATGACATTTTGAAAAGTGCTATAAAGTTACCATTTTTCATGTTTTTTAAAGGAAATTTCTAGTGTAATTCCAAATTTAAATGAAATTTCTAGTGTAACTCCGAGTCTGTCTTGATTTTTTAATGTAATAAGACTGAGTCTGCAACCCACCCACAAAAATTAGTTGTCATTTAACAGTTATATATCATACACAGTCACACATATATTTACTTATTTATTAATCCAACAAATGTTTTTGAACACTTGCAAGTTAGAAGGCCTGCTGTAGTTCAGGGAAGAGATAATGGTTAGCTTGGACTAGGTTTGGTGATCAGGAGAAGTAGGTATGTTTAAGAAATATTTAGCATTTGTGGAGGAATTCATTATAGGCAGGAGAAGGAAGAGGCAAGGATAACTCCCAGGTTTCCAGCTTATCCAGCTTAATAGATAATAGTACGGTTCACTGGGGTAGAAGGGGAAAAAAAAACTTTGCTAGTAGAGAAATACAGACTAAAACTGTGAGATACCATTTTCACCTCTCAGACTTCAAGGATTAAAGGAAAAGAATGCTCAGCATAGAAAGAAGGCACGATGGAGCAGGTATCATCACACACTGCTAAAGCAGCAGAAAACATTTGGTGATACACCTTATAAGTCTTAAAAACATCCATACCTTTTGACGCAGTAGTTCCATGTCTATTTACATAAAGAGTTATTTGTACTGAGGGAAATTAGGCAAAAACTTAAGTGTCCAACTCGGGGGAATTGATGATATATAGTCACAGCTAGAGGGTGAATTACTATATAACCTTGAAAAATAATCAGAAAAAAAACTGAAAGAATTTTTAATAAGATGTAAAAATGTTCATATTAAAGACTCCAAACAGTGTATTTAGGGGGAAAGCAGTAGTTTTTTGGTTAAAAGATACAGCAAAAAGCATATATGTTATGGGTATATAGTATGCATCTTAGGAGCCCTGGTGGCACAGTGGTTAAGCATTCAGCTGCTAACCAAAAGGTTGGCAGTTCAAACCAACCAGCGGCTCCGAGGGAGAAAAGACCTGGTGATGTGCTCCTGTAAAGATTACAGCCTAGGAAACCCTGTAGGGCAGTTCTTCTCTGTCATATAGGGTCCCTATGAGTCTGAGTCGACTAAATGGCATGCAACAATGACCTGTGTGTGTATGTAATTACAGAGAGGATTAACCGTGATGTCAATTATAGGTCTTATTTCTAGGTGATAGGATTATATGTGAGTTTTATTTTTAGTTCATTTCTGTGCATAATGATTCTGTATAACTTTTATAATTAAAATGTTAAATTTCTATAAGGTAATTTCAGAAAATAATTATTACTGTGATGATTTTCCAGTCTTTCCAGTGTCAGCTTGCCTTTAGCTAAGATAATCCCAATAATAAATGGACAGATCCATTCAGTGTGCAGTGAAACACCTAGTCATTTTGTTCAGGTAAGAAGAAAGCCCTGGGGTATTGTATTTTTGGTTGTCTCCATGTTTGTCTAAAATAAAATTACGTTTCTCTCCTGTGTTGTTTCTTCTATTAAAAAAAAAAAAAAACGAGTAATAATGTATCATGGCAAATTTATGAGGTTGGGAGTACCTTCCCCCGTATTATAGCCCAACACCTGTTAGACTGCATTTGAGTCCAGATACATTCTAGTAGTCAGTTGAATTTAGGTAGTGTTAATGTTTTACAGTAAACTGTGCTAATAAGAAGATTGCACTTTGAAGCAGGTCAATGATCCAGTTCCTCAAATTTTGAGGAAAACAAAAACGTGGAGAAATAAAGCATTTAGTAACGAATAAAATATTTACGATTAATAGCACATCAATAATATGCTCACAGACATTTTCATACTGCATGATAGTTGTGGAAGTTATTAGAACTGCCATTCATCTTGTTAATGAATGAATAAAGACGTAATATTGCTATATCATAAATTTGATCTTAAGAATTTTATATACCATTTTCAAATGAAAATGCGATTTCGCTTGGTGGTAAAGTGAAATCCTGCTAATGCTATTGCAGTTACCTACATTAATAATTGAAGAAAATGCTAGATTTCAGTTAGAGGTTAGTGAAAATAAAGGTGTAATATTTTTCCTTATCTTTACATTCACAGCCCTCTTGGGGGATTAAGAACCCTTGCTGGAAAGTGTATTTTATGTGTTGTTTGTATATGTATGTATATATAATATATGCACGTACTACATATACATATAAGATCATTTCGAAAATAATATACCTCGACCATGTCAGCTTCCAGCAAAAGTACTTTCAGTCTTCTACCTTTAGTATTTTACTTGTTTATTCAGCAAATACTTTTGTAGCATTTGACACACATAAAAATTCATTTGTAGACTTTTATTTTCTTCTTAAAGTCACACCTGAATTCTTAAACGATACCCACCATTCCTCGTGTAAGAACCTGGACAATAAATATCTCCTAGAACTTACCCTAAGGAAAAATATTTCTCTCATTAAGTGATGTACTTTTTGCCTTTAATGAACTTCCACAAAACTTGGAGCTAAATTCATTGCTTGATTGCAGACATGAATTCAGTGTATCTACACTTTTTATAAACTATAATATATTCTCTTCTTTGCTAGGATCTGTTGATGATGGAACAAGTGAAAGATTTTGCTGCTAATGTGTATGAAGCTTTTAGTACCCCTCAACAACTGGAGAAATAATTTTTCCTTCAAGAAAAACTACAGTGACATTCATTTACTTTTAAAAAAATACACTGAATAAATCAGCTACAGAGTAACAGTTTGTTACTGAAATGCCTAATAAAACCATCTTCTTAATCAAAGTCTTCATTTCATAATGAAATAGATTTATTTGGCATCTTAATATATATTTTTAAAGTCACCAACGGACCAGTTTTTGTGGGCATATCTGAGTATACATACAATGCAAATATCAGATTGGTAACAGTCTGTTACACCATGGATATTACTTCCAAACTGACTAAAAGCAACTGTATATACTTTTTTATATAATAAGGAGTGTCGTATACTTTGACAGTAATACTGAGGAAAAATCTGTTTGGGAAATGGGCCTAGGATGTATGAAGTTTGGGGAATATGCTATTTAATCGATCATAAACTTTACTAGACTGCAGTAAGTAGGAGTGAGTCAGACTTCTCCAATTACCTTTCAAGGGAATAAATTATTTGTCTCAAATATGTCTTGATGGAGGACTTTTCTTTTTATAAAAATCAGTGAATTTTAACAACCATGATCTGCTTTATTTTTCCTTTGCTGTTTAACAAACCTTAGAAAATTACGTATTGATTTAGAGGCTAAAATTGTGTTGATGCTATTTACTCACCATTGTTATTAACTACATAGTTTCATTCATTTGTATGTAAATAATTTTAGTAGTTTACTTTGTAGTAACTTTCAGCACAGTGAATATCTTATTGCAATAAAATATTTTAGTAAAATATGTTTTTGTTGAGTTAATACTTTTCAACCATTAATTTATTTGTCCCATAGCATTTTTGCTGTTATTTTGGAGAAGAGAATTCAGTAGTTTTCAAGCTTCGTTTTAACTGGTAATATATTTGTTGCTTTCTGTTAACTTGTTTGTTTAGAAAAAAGTAACATTACCTTCCAAAAAAATAGTAATTCCATTTTCTCTAAGAAGTCTATAGCTCTGCTATTTATAACAGTAATTATGATTAGGGCAGAAATAAATGAATCATTATGTATCATCAGATTATTAGATATATTTTCTGTAATAGCAGCCGACATAACCTATAGCTAAATAGGAGAAGGTAGAAAATGAACTGTGAAGTTCTCTTCAAAAGCCAGGCTAGGCCCAAAGCAGACTGCTAGGGAGTCTGTATCTAGAATGTTAAAAACAGGTGTGTGTAAAGGTGCAGAGGAGGGCAAGTGCTTCTTTCAAAATCTGACAGAATATAATGATACCGTTTCTAATAGGGTAAAAGAAAAGTTGCATTTTGGAAAATTAGTGATTGATTGTATGATAGGGAGTAGGAAGTACATCCCTCCCAGCAGCAGGAGCCCAGAATTTAATACAAGGAAAACTTAGACAACTGAAGTGACTGTGGAAGGACAGAAAGATGGTCAGATGAAAGGTATCACCTGGAATCATCTGCTTCTGGACAGTTGTGGCAGTTGAAGAGATGGCAGGGTTAAAAGCTCATGTGTTAGTAGTTAATCGGCCTTCGACATTATAGATTTGCCTTCTAATAGTGCAGTAGGAGCCCTCTTGTTTGGGACCCTTAGCTTTTGGGTTAATCCAAAAAGAAGAGTGTCATAAAAGTATAACACGCCCTTAGACATTTTAACTAAGATGTAAATATTGGTTTATTTGCCAGTTATTTAATGTAGGACCTTTCCTGCTTGTCGAGTATGGGTCACGTGATAAGTGTTTTCTAGTTGTACAAATCACATCCATTACATAGTTGTGAACCAGGGTGCAGAATTCTATAATTTTTTATATATTTTTCCTCAATCTGTTAGAACTGTTTTGCCCACACTTAATCAATAGCTTAAAAAAAAAAAAGACAACACACTTTTATCTAGTTTTTCTAAAGCATTCAACTTTCACAGAAACTCATGTCATCAGTTTACCTAATCATGATAAAAAATCCAACTGGCATAATCAGTTTGGTAACAAACGCAACTAACTCTTGGTAACTGTACAGTGCAGCGGGTGGGAATCCACGTGGAGAGTGTACCAGTCTAACTGAAAGCCTGCAGCTGCCCCAGGCATCAATCAGTAAGCTTTCCCAAGGGCATAGAGAACAGCCCCTAATCTAGTAAATTAGTTAAATGGAGATTAGTTGAAACAGCTGTCTTAATCATCTAGCACTCCTACAACAGAAATACCACAAGTGGATGGTTTTAATGAAGAGAAGTTTATTTCCTCACAGTCAAAGTAAGCTAAAAGTCCAAATTCAGGGCATCAGCTCCAGGGAAGGCTTTTTCTCTCTGTCGGCGTTCTTCTGTTCGGTGTTCCCCTGGACTAGGAGCTTCTCTGCGCAGGGACCCTGGTCCAAAGGATGCGCTCTGCTCCCGGCACTGCTTTCTTGATGGTATGAGGTCCCCCTGTCTCACTGCTCACTTCTGCCCTTTATATCTCAAGAGATAGCCTCAGGACACAAATCCAGTCTTGTAGATCAGGTCCTGCCTTACTAACACAACTGCCACCCTTCCTCGCTCATTAACATCATAGAGGCAGGTTTACGACATACGGGAAAATCACACAGTACCAGGAATCATGGCCTAGCCAAGTTGATACACACATTTTTGGGGAGACATAATTCAGACCATGACAACAGCTTTTACTTTTTCAAACTTTGTGTTTACTACTATGTGTGTATAAAAAGCATGCATTTAAATTTGATACAAGCATTTATTTGTTTGGAAGTTAGCCAGGAAGATTTTGATCTAACCAGATCTTTTACTCATAAAAACAAAATGAACAGAAGGCAAAATACCTGCTATGCTTTCTGTTGTCCGAATTCATATTTATTTGAATAGCCTGACCTTATAGAGCAATTGTGTTGCTTCAGTATGGCACTCATACGAAAATGAGAATTTTATTAAAGTGATGTCCGTATTTAAAATGGTAAAATCAACACCTATTCAGCTAGCCATATAGTTGGTTTATCTTGAATATTTCTCTAAATGCAAATCAAGTTACTGAAATTCAAACACGGCTATTTTGTTCCTATTATTTAATTGGAGAGATTAAAACTGCTAGCTTAAAGTAGGTAATAAGATGCCTGATTTTTAATTACCCTTCTTATCCTCCATTGGATTGACACAGTGGCTGCAACGATGGGCTCAAGCATAGCAAAGATTGTGAGCATGGCGCAGGACTGGGCAGTGTTTCGTTCTGTTGTACATGGGGTCACTATGAGTCAGAACCAACTCGGCAGCACCTAACAACATCCTCCATACCACAAATAATTCTAAGAATTTGATGAAGTGTTTTAAAATCCTTGTTATAAGACATGTGTAGAGCATTTCACACTTAAGCACAGATGTACCTTAAATAAATTTTAGAGTCTCATACTTGAGGTTTTCAGATACAATGTCTAGTTTGGGCTAAGTATTTTATCAGTGTTTCTCTGGATGCTGAGCTGTATTTGTCTGTCATTTAGTTATAGCTACTTATTAACTAAACCCTGTATCTAAATGGACTTTACCTAAATATTTCCATTTTGCCCTTTTATTCTCAATTTTGAAAAGGTAAAGATAGGGTAGGAATTTAGGCAATTGACAGATTTTAGTCTAGAAAATACTTTCTTTAAACAAAAAGATCTTTTGTGTTAAGATTCCTGTAATGTTTTGTTTCCTTTTGTTTGTTTTTGTTTTTTCTTCGTCTAGTTTTTGGGATCATGTAAATATATGCACATTGGATCGCTAATAAAATGTTAATTGGAATTTAGAACTATTAATGTATCCATGTAAATACCTTGGCATGGTTTCAAAAATTTGACAGTTGTAGAAACTTAAAAGAATGAGTAGGGGTTTTTTTAGTTTTTAAATTTTAGCATGATTTTAGGACATAAATATAATGAACTGTTTTATTTTACACTCTATTTGAAGCATTTGGAGAACAAAAATTTTTGTCTGCATTTGATTAATGTGACCAAATGGAAACTGTAGCACTTCAAATAGTAAGGATAAAGCCAAACTGATCACCTTTTGTTGGGGGGAGTGAAGGCTTTAATCTGTTTTTCTTTAAATTTATATCAAAATTAGTACCACTTTTGCTTTGTTCTTAGGGAAGATCTGAATAGACTTCCTAATTTTCCACTAGATTTTCTACTTCAATTTGATTGAAAACAAATACCATAAGCAAATTTATAAATTTCAATTGAACTTCAAATTAGCCCATCTACAAAAATAGACCTACAACTTCAATCCCTTCTCCCTACCAAGAAGAAACTAAGAATATATACTAAAATACTAACGGTAGTGATCTGAGTGGTGCATTTACCAGAAATTTCTCTGTTTTTCTTGGAGCATTTCTGTATGTTCCAAAATTTCTACAGTGAACATAATCAGTTTTATAATCAAAAGGAAAGAATTTTTTTTTTTTAAACAAAAAGACGATTACCGGAACCAATGGAAATATATATTAGGCCAAATTTATTATATACCATTAATTCCTAGCTACTGAAAAACAAAAAATTTCCACCTCTGAATCACACACAGAAACAAATTCATTGTGGAAAGACTTTAATGGCAAAGTGCACTGAAGAATTAAAACAGTTACATGTGCAATTTAGAAAAGAATTTAGGGAGAAAAGGGAAAAGAGAGTTGAATTGCCTAAATAATTACTTGAGTTTTCTTGGCCAATTTTACATTTGTTTTCTCCGTGTGCAACAATCATAGAAACCTACCGTTTTCTAGTCTTAGACATACATGCAGCATGGGGCATTCTGCTGCACATTAGATCACATTGGTCAGTGCTAGAGTCCAGCCCCATTTACAGGGAAACTGACTAATGGTTAGCTGTGGCAGTTTTACCACAATGCCATTTGGTTCCAAGGAAGTCCATTTAAGTGGCTGTCCATATCCCAGTAGTTTTACCTGAAATTAAAAATACACACACAAATGTCACCAAATGCATCACTTCCATTCACCCACTTTTTATTGGGAAGGAGTGGATGGCATTTTTAAAAAAACATTACAGACAGGGAATTCCTTTTACTTTTTTTTACACTTTTAACCCTTGATTCAACTGAGTACATACATATGTCTTGCTCCTATGTTACTCTCGAGTGCACGGTAGTTGAGGAAGAAGAATTCTAGAGGCTGAATGAGGTGTCAGAGTGGGAGGAATGCTGAATAGAGGACCGGGGATAGAAAAGTAACTCTGGAACCCATCTGCCCAACTAGGGCCTGCCCACTTTTTACACAGAATGTTTGGAGAAAGGCTGCCTTCCCATATCCAGCCACTGTTCCTCCCCAGATTCCCCAGTAATCTCCACTAGTCAACAATACATAAACTTTATCAGTTATTACTGTGATTGTTGTATATCCTTAGTCTTAATTTATATTAAGTGAATTCAAATAAGTAGATTTATACATGTTCCGGGGTTATTTTAAGCCAGAAAATTTTGCTTATCAGGTGGAGCAACACAAAAAACAAAACACCCATGAACTTTGAAATGATAGATTTAATTGGTGTCAACAAGAACTTAGATAAAAAAGATAATCAGTGTCATATCCAGGCTACTTAAGCTATAACTAAATACTAGATTTGAGCTCCATCTTCTTTCTGCCTGACCAACCACAAGGGTTAGGCATAAATATGGAAAGGTGTTGCATATAGACAATTCACCTCCAATGGGGTCATCAATTTCTTAATAAGCTATAAAATATATCAAAATGAACCCAGTGCCAGGCATGGTGATTACAACTGTTAGATTAATCTTAAATTTTCCCTAAAGTTTTTTTGTAAATTTAAAAAGTAGGGCCCTCATATCTTTTATGGAGGTATGTTCTGGGGTAGAGTGTCAGGGGAAGCATCTGAATTCCAGTTTTATGAAAAGAATCATTTTGGATGCATGCAGTTCAACTTGAACAACACAGAATTACTGTGAAGACTAATATCTACTTTGCATTGCTATGCATGGAGATAATGTAGCTCTTTTTTTAAGTTTGGTTTTCTGGATATGAAAGAATAAAAATTTCAAAGGTTTTGGCCAAATATTGCTATTGATGAAGCTCATTTTAATGTTACTCTTACAAGGTATAAAAGAAGCGCACATAAGGCTCTTCTTAAAGTTAAAATGAGTTATGTTTTCATAGGCTATCCTAGGCAGCAATTTAAAGGAATAATACAGATGACAAAATTTCCTCTTACCATTGTTGAATTCCAAATAGCTTTGGGCTGGCCAAGAAGCAGCTGTCCTAATGTGGGCCATTTAAGAAAAATGGCATAGACCAAATTTTCTTTAGGTTTGGTTGTGTACCTGGTTAAAATAAACAACAACAAAAACAGTAATAACAAAGATCCATCCCATGTTTCTCATTATTTATGGGTTAAATCGAATTATTTTACAGAGACAAATTTTTTACCAATATCTTCATTAAAAGGAAGGAAAAATAGCCCCGTGGTGGCCTAAAAAACATCTCCCTTCCCCACCTACCTGATATTAAAAGGAAGTTCTTGGAAGAGAAAAGAGATTTTCATCAGACTGTTCTCCTGGAGCTGGAAATAGGGGACTGGGGGTGGGGGAGTGAATCAAGGAACTAGGCTGCAAGAGCTAGATGGCTTTTAACCCACTAATTCAAATTTTTGTAGCCATTCATTGAGTAGGTATGTATCTGTCAACACTGTGCCAGATACTGTGCTCGGTGTGAGGGATATGACAGAAAACAAAACACACAGAGTTCTTGTTCTCCTGGAGCTTAGACTAGAGTGGGGAAGACAGACATTAAATAACCACAAATAAGCCTCTATAAGACCTGGCTCTGAGCTTGGAAGACACTGGAGGACTTTGAGTATGGGAGTGACATAATCTGACTTATTTAAAAGATCGCTGTGGCTGCTTTGGGGAGGAAAGACTAAAGAGGCAAGAGTGGAAATAGAGACCAGTCAGAGGCTACTGAAATAATCCAGGAGAGTTAATGGAAAACAAAAGGATAAGGGTTGACACTGAGAGGTAATATGAGAAGGTCAGAATCTCGATATATTTCAAAGATAAAGATGATGGTATTTGTTGATGGATTGGCTGTGGGAAAGAATGGGAAGTTAGGGACCAAGATTTTATGCCTTTACAATGGACTAAAAGGATGAAACTGCCATTAACTGAGATGAAGACGACTGGGTGGAGCTAGTTAAGGGCAAAAAAAACAAAAAATCAGAATTTCGGTTTGGGATATCACAGGTTATACATTCAAGTGGAGATGTTGAGTAGGAAGTTGAACATATGAGTCTGAAAACATACATGTGGAGGTCATCGATATGGTATTTAAAGCCAAGAAACTGGATGACATCGTGTGCAGAATTAAGAAAAATACAGAAGACTAGAAGTCCAAGGACTAAGCCCTGGGCCCTTCAAGATTTAGAGGCTGGGAATATGAAGTGGAACCAGCAAAGGAGACTAAGAAGGGGCAGTGAACAGGTACTATGAAAACCAGCAGAGAGTAATCACCTGAGACAAATGCTGCTGATAAGATCAGAAAATGAAGACTGAGAACTGACCATGGACTTGGCAAGGTAGAGGTAATTGCTAACTTGGTAACAGCAGTTTTGTGGAATGCGGGGCAGGAGCCTGACCAGAGTGGGTGTGCTGGGTTGAATAATGTCCCCCCAAAATTCATGTCCACCCAGAACCTCAGAATATAAGAAGAAAGACACAAAGACTCAGAGGGAAGACATAGGCAGAGATTGGAGAGATGGTGCCACAAACCAAGGAATGCCAAGGATGGCTGGCAACCACCAGGAGCTGGAAGAGACAAGGGCATTGCCCTGCCAACATCCTGATTTCAGACTTCTAGCCTCCAGAACTGTGAGAGAATAAATGTTGTTTTAAGTCACCTGGTTTGTGGTAATTCGTTACGGCAGCCCTAGGAAACTAATACAGAATTTGATATTGGGTGTAGGGATGCTATAATAAATACTTAAAAATGTGAAAGTGTTTTGGAATTGGGTAACAGGTAGCAGCTGGAAGCATTTTGAGGTGCATTCTAGGAAAAGCCTAGACTGCCTTGAAGAGATTGTTGATAGAAATATATATGGACATTAAAGGAGATTCTGTTGAGCCCAGAAAAAAAGTGAGGAGGGCTGTAAAGAAAGCTTCTGTTGTCTTAGAGAATACATATATAGTCACTAACAGAATGTTGCTAGAAATATGAACATTAAAGGGGCTTCTGGTGAGGTCTCAGATGGAAATGAAGAACATGTTACTGGAAACTGGAGGAAAGGTGGCAGAAAACTGGGCTCAATTGTGTTCTGCTGTTGGACGGGAAGTAGAACTTGTAAGTGATGAACCTGGATATTTAGCTGAGATTGCCAAGCAAAGTGTGGTTTAGATATTATTAGAATAGTATGAACACATAACAAGTTTTTTTAAAAAAAAATCAATTAAAATAACAATATTATTTTGGTTTCTTTTTAATCTAATATTTTTCTCTGCCCTTGGGTACCTCTTGCTTGCTAATTTGATGCCAGGTAGCATCTGTAATGATAGAATTTACTTAACTGACTAAACTGAAGTCTCTGTTTCAGATTAACCATCAACATTTTCATTTATCTTTAGGGTTTACAACTTTTGTAAGAGCTGACTACTTTTAACTAGAATTTGTCCATCACTAGGAGGTGTCTAGGAGCCCTGGTGGTGCAATGGTTAATGGCAAAAGATCGGTGTTCGAACCCCCCAGTGGCTCTTCAGGAGAAAAGACTTGGCTCCATAAAGATTACAGTCTAAGAAACTCTATTGGGCAGTTCTACTTTGTCCTATAGGGTTGCTATGAGTTAGAATCAACTTGACAGCACACAACAACAGGTGTCTAGAGATGATAAACAACAAGAACTCAAAAACATGCTAATTTCTTCCTTTCTTTTATATTAGAGTAAGTAAAGTTTGGAAAGCACTTTGTGTAGGTAGGCACTCATCCAATGTCTCTTTTTATCCTTCTCTTTATATCTCTGAGAAATTTTAAATGTCTTCCTCTATCAAATAGTACTGGTTACAAGAATGACTTACCACACATCTGGGGTGACAGTGTCATTTGCGGATCTCCAAGTGTGGGTTCCATAAATGGCTTCTCCATTGACACTTAGCCAGGCCCCCATTTGCCTTAATCTCTCCTCAAAAATTGGGGAAATTGTGCCATCTTGTGTGGGCCCAATATTCATCAAAAGATTTCCTCCACATGAAACTGTTTCTACAAGTTGCTAAAAATTAAGAGTAAATAAAGCTTTTAGATAAGATACAATGTTGCATTAATCCATTGCAATTACATATTTACACGTGCATGGTAGTCACTATCTAGGACAACAAAGACGATAGAATATTGCCCAGTGTTTATAGGCCATTCAGCTATACAGATTGTAAGAAATAACTCCCACACACCCACACTATTAACTATATTACATTAATAGTCATCAGACATTTCACTGTACCTTCACCAATTCTTCGATTGTAAAATAGTCACAGATTCCAGCATTCCTCCTATAGCCCCAAGAAACCTTGTCTATTGTCATACAGTTTTCCCATTTATGTGGCAAAATATGTCCTGGGTTATAACGATCACTGCAGGTATAGTAGCCACCATGCTTACAGATGCTCCCAGCTCCCCAACGATCATTGGTGACTACTGTGTCCCGAACTGGGCTGAAATGAAAAGTATAATTTTTTAATATAAAAAAGCATAGTTTGTTTAATATTAAAAAAAAAGAAGTCACAGAAAAGATGTCTAACTGCAATTCACTCCTGAAAAATGACCATAGCATAATGTAGTGTGAAGTCCATGGTTTTGAAGTCAAATAGACCTAGATTGTCTGGAGTCATGACTCTGCCACTTTATAGCTCCTTGACTGAAAACAAGTGACTTAATTCATCTGAATAATGGGTTTCCTCATCTTTTATTAGAACAGAAATAATTTCTATAAAACCTAGTCCAGTACCCAGCATATATAGCACTTTTAAGAGTACTATACTTATTTGAAGCTTTTTCCCCCTTATAATGTGAGTGGTAACCAAAATTAAATTTACACTTGCTATTTCTCTCTCCAGTGATTGAATAAACTCATACATTATATTCCAACCTTTCTGTTTCTCTTACAATTGTGCCTAATACTGAAGAATCAATTGCTCCCATTATGTAATTCACTGTAGCATGAAATACCCCAATAATATTATTTATTGTGGCAGGTGGTGATGGAACAGTTTGATTCCCAAATTAAAGTGGAGGGCTCCCAGTCCTTTCCCTTGGAAGGAGTACCCGGAGAAACTGCTGTTGTAAGAATCCAGACCTCACCAGAATATTTGTATATGTTCCTTTTGTGGACCCATGGAGCGTAAGTAGACTATTCCCTGACTTCATAGCACAATACTAAGTACTTCCTAGTTACAAATATAAATTTGGTCCATAAAGTTTAAGCCTAATGAAAGAGCTCAATCAGAACTCCCTGTTCTAATGGGGCAGCCTTGAACATGCTAGAAAGCCATAGGAAGGAACAAGATGAGGTGAGAATGTTGATGATGAAGAAAAAGAGTAGACAAGGGCAACACTGAACTGGGCAGCAAAGATTATCAAAAGGTGAACAGATAACAGAATCAATTAGAGGAACTGAAAAGCACATCATCAGAAGACAGAGATGAATAATGCATTGTCCCAGAATAGGGGCAATAGAAGAGCAGAATAGGAGATGAAAAGAGGAACCCACAAAATTAACATCTTAAAAGTCCCTGATCCTGTGACTGTTAGTCTGATTTCAAAACTAGGTTGTTATATTGTATTGGACTCCTGATTTCTTTACTCTTGATTATTTTGCATAAGCACTGATATGTCTTATAGGCATTACTTACAATGATTTCCTCACCCATACCACAAATGAACGTAGACGGAAATATTTCAAACAAGGGAATGAAAGTGTTACAAATGTAGTAGGAATATTTAAGGTAAGGACAGCAATCTAATAGCATACACACCTTTCATTATACAGCCAGGCTAGGAAGCCAGTGCTGTTCCAGTAGGAATCTGGTGCCCCTCCGTCACCATCAGCCCACAGCACCTCTGGCCAGTAGTTGTTCACTAACTCATAGAGCTCAGGCAACATCTTAGAAACCGGAAACTGCCGCTTGTGGAATGAACTGAATTTGTCCTCAAGAAACAGCGGGTTAAACCATTCAAAAAGGGAGTAGTACAGTCCAAAATGCAAGTCAGTTCTGTTCCTAATGGCTACCTCAAGTTCCTTGACAATGTCCCTCTTTGGCCCTTCATCTACAGCATTCCAGTTCCATGAGTACTTCGAACCCCACATGGTAAAGCCTGGAAAATTGTATTAAAAACTTATATAAGCATATCCATTTTCTTTTAGTAAATTTCCATTTTTATAAACCCAAATCAGGTAGTGCAAAAACCAAACCAAACCAAACCCGTTATTGTCGAGTCAGTTCTGACATAGGGTGACCCCACGTGTTACACAGTAGAAAAACCATAGGGTTTTCTTTACTGTAATCTTTACAGAAGCAGATCACCAGGACTTTCTTCCATGTTGCCACTGGGTGGATTCAAACTGCCAACCTTTAGGTTAGTAGTCAAGCGAAAACCATTTGCGCCACCCAGGGACCTCAGGTAGTGCAAGTGATATATAAATTACTTCTTCTACAAATGACTATTTTATTGCAATTTTTTTCATGGTATATATTCTGCTTTTATAAGAGAAACAAATGAGAAGTTAATCAAGGTGGAACCAAAGTTTTTAAAAGTAACTTTCAGGGTACCCCATAGGATCTGTAGAGTCTTACCTATTGCCTATATTTTCACTCTTACAATATAAGCTTCTTGAGGGATAGCATTATGTCTGCAGTGTTCCCTGCTCTTTCCCCAGCCTACTTCTAGCACAGAGTCTAGCAAAAAATAAACAATCAACAATAGCAGATCACAGCTGGCCCCTGGGAACATCTGCCACATCTACATGCTAAACAATGACTACTACTACTATTTATAATGAGGACCCTACGGTACGCTCCTGCAAGATTCTTATGTGTCTTCTAAACCAAAGATTACAGTATATTCCATAGTCTTAGGATTGTGTATATTATATTGTGATTCTAAAAGCAGTAATGAACCATGTGTAGTAATTCTCCTTTAGTCTGATTATTCATTTAACCATGGGGGAGGGCACACTTCCTCACTAGTTCTGTACTTTAAAATACAGCCACCATTTGTTTTCTCTTCTTACTCTAAAGCCATAAACTTGGATGTCAATCTTTAAATTACCTCAAAGTGAATTATCTATCACCTAAATGGATAAGAAAATAATGTATACTATTACACAATCTCTTTGAAGCAACTCATATTTTAAAAGGAATTTGCAATTAGATTACTGGTTGTTCTATATAAAAATACTAGAAGAGATAATACAAACTAAAATAATTAAGAAATAATACAAAAGCCTCAAAAATTTCAGTACACAGGAGTACAGGCATATCTCGCTTTACTGTGCTGTGCAGATATTGCATTTTTTACAAGTTGAAGGTTTGTGGCAGCCTGCATGGAGAAAGTCTATCTATCGGCACCCTTTTTTCAACAGCATATGCTCACTTCATGTCTTTGTGTCACATTTTGGTAACTCTCACAATATTTCAAGATTTTTTCATTATTATTATATTTGTTATGGTATCTGCAATCAGTGATCTTTGATGTTACCATTGTAATTGTTTTGGGGCACCGTGAATCGCACCCATTTAAGACGGTGAACTTAATAAATGTTGTGTGTGCTCTGACTGCTCCACCGGCTGGTGATTCCTCCATCTCTTGTCCTCTCCTCAGGTGTCCCTATTCCCTGAGACATGACAATATTGAAATTAGGCCAGCTGATAACTCTACAATGGCCCCTAAACGTTCAAGTGAAAGGAAGAGTCACATGTCTCTCACTTTAAATCAAAAGCTAGAAATGATTAAACTTAGTGAGGAAGGCATGTCGAAAGCTGAGATAGGTCAAAAGCTAGGCCTCTTGCGCCAAACAGTTAACCAAGTTGTGAATGCAAAGGAAAAGTTCTTGAAGGAAATTAAAAGTGCTACTCCAGTGAACACACGAATGATAAGAAAGCAAAAGAATCTTATTGCTGATTGGAGAAGTTTTAGTGGTCTGAATAGAAGATCAAACCTGCCACAACATTCCCTTAAGCCGAAGCCTAATCCAGACCAAGGCCCTAACTCTCACCAACTCTATGAAGGCTGAGAAAGGTGAGGAAGCTGCAGAAGAAAAATCTGAAGGTAGCAGAGGTTGGTTCATGAGGTTTAAGGAAAGAAGCCGTCTCCATAACATAAAAATGCAAGGTGAAGCAGCAAGTGCTGATGTAGAAGCTGTAGCAAGTTACCCAGAAGATCTAGCTAAGATAATTGATGAAGGCGGCTACACTAAACAACAGATTTTCAAGGTAGATGAAATAGCTTTATATTGGAAGAAAATGCCATCTAGGACTTTTATAGCTAGAGAGAAGTCAACATCTGGCATCAAAGCTTCAAAGGACAGGCTGACTCTCTTGTTAGGAGCTAATGCAGCTGATGGCTTTAAGTTGAAGCCAATGCTCCTTCCAAAAATCCTAGTGCCCTTAAGAATTATGCTAAATCTACTCTTCCTGTGCTCCATAAATGGAACGACAAGGCCTGGATGACAGCACATCTGTTTATAACATGGTTACTGAATATTTTAAGCCCACTGTTGAGACCTACTGCTCAGAAGAAAAGATTCCTTTCAAAATATTACTGCTCGTTGACAATGCACCTGGTCACCCAAGAGCTCTGATGGAGATGTACAAGGAGATTAATGTTGTTTCATGCCTGCTAACACAACATCCATTCTGCAGCCTGTGGATCAAGGAGTAATTTTGATTTTCAAGTCTTATTATTTAATAAATACATTTTGTCTAAGAAATACATTTTGTAAGGCTATAGCTGCCATAGATAGTAATTCCTCTGATAGACCTGGGCAAAGTAAATTGAAAACCTTCTGAAAAGGATTCACCATTCTAGATGTCATTAAGAACATTCACGATTCATAGGAGGAGGTCAAAATATTAACATGAACAGGAGTTTGGAAGAAGTTGATTCCAACCCTCATGGATGACTTTGAGGGGTTCAAGACTTCAGTGGAGGAAGTAAATGCAGACGTGGTAGAAATAGCAAGAGAACTGAAATTAGAAGTAGAGTCTGAAGATACGACTGAATTGCTGCAATCTCATGATAAAACTTTAATGGATGAGGAGTTGCTTCTTATGGATGAGCAAAGAAAGTGGTTTCTTGAGAAGAAATCTACTCCTAGGGAAGATGCTGTGAACATTGTTGAAACGACAACAAAGGATTTAGAATATTACATAAACTTAGTTGATAAAGCAGCAGCAGAGTTTGAGAGGATTGACTCCAATTTTGAAAAAAGTTCTACTGTGGGTAAAATGCTATCAATCAGCATGACATCCTCAAGAGAAATCTTTCATGAAAGGAAGAATCACTGGGGCAAACTTCACCGCGGTCTTATTTTAAGAAACTGTCACAGCTACCCTAAACTTCAGCAACCACCACCTTGATCAGTCAGCAGCCGTCAACATTGAGGCAAGACCCTCCATCAGCAAAAAGATTATGACTCTCTGAAGGCTCAGATGATGGTTAGCATTTTTCAGCAATAAAGTATTTTTTAATTCAGGTATGTACATTTTTTTAGACATAATCCTATTGCACACTTAACAGACTACAGTATAGTGTAAACATAATTTTTATATACACTGGGAAATCAAAAAATCATGTGACTCGGTTTATTGCCATATTTGTTTTATTGCTGTGGTCTGGAACCAAACACACAATATCTCTGAGGTATGCCTGTACATTTTTACTGTATTTATAAGGTGCTTTTGATGAAACACTTTACTCCTGGAAATTAAGACAAGTCTGAGATTGACTCACTCTGTAGATTCATTTTAAGAGGTTTTTCAAACAGCTCCAAAGATGTTTGTGGTAAGCTTCAAAGCGTATCTAAAGTCTTATTCAAAACATTTCAAGTTGACAGGCCCTAATGTCAGGCAGTACTAAAACCTTATGAGTCTTCAGTTTGATATCACCATCTTTCAATGTTCATGAGCACATGAACAGCTCACACAGTAGTCTTCCCTCTTTACAGTACAGTGGGTGCATTTTTTTTTTTCCTATAAGCAATAAAAACATCTGACAACATTGGGTCCTGGAAAATTTATAAATGTAAGCTAATCTTCTGTCCTCACAGTATGATAAAGAGTTTTTTGTTTTTTTTTTTAATAAGCTCACTGTGTAAGACTTTGTGCCACACAGCTTGGGGAAGTTCCTAGACATCAGGAAACCAAGATGTTTACAAGCAAATATATTTTATAAATATCTGTCTCAGCAGGAAAAATACCTACAGGAGAAAAGTCATGGAGCTACCAGCATGCAACCAAAGAGAAACATATTCTCAGAAGATAATTACAGTTTTATTTTTGGTTTTGGTCCCCTAGTCCCTGCTCCTGGAGAAACAATGAGGCAGAACTTCTTATACCAAGGCAAATATGGTCATGCAAAAGAAGCTATCTAATGATTTAACATGTGATTGGAACAATAATAGTTTGTGGATGCTTCTCTGATCTTATAGATACAGGAATGGTAATGGGTAGAATCTGTTCTATTACTCTAGCACTACTGTCTTCCTTTTAGATATTCTTCCACCACCTCTGATATTTCTGGGCACCATTATAGACCATAACCCTTTTCCAACAGGTGATCTGTGTCACTTCCATCACTAGCAACTCCTTCACCAGTTGGTCGTCTAAGAATTGGCCAAAAGCACAGCCAGGTGTGGTGATAATAATGCAAGACTGTCGCATCATAACCCCATGCTGCCTCCTCAGAATGCATTACAGAAGTGGAGTGAAAGGGAGGCAAAGGGTGCAATGTCAATGAGAAACTTCGACTTGCAATCCATATTCCACTTTAAATAGCTTTAATCCAATCATGGAAATACTGTCAAATATACACATATACACATGTGGAGGGTATGATCTTCCTCTATACCTAATGCCTCTCAATTTGGGTGGAACGTATGGTCCTCTAAATTATAAGCAAATGTCAGTGGTCGTGTATGGGTGCTCCTAAGCAGAAAATCTGATTTCACAGAAATGATCTTGCTTTAGTTTTTTCTTCCAAAAGAACTAGTGCACATTTCATAACCATGGTTAATGTCTGTATATGTTGCACTTACTTACCTTCATGATGTTTGGTAGTTAAGACCATGTATTTTGCACCAGAAGCCTGAAGAAGATCTGCCCACTGGCTGGCATTGAAAAACTGTGCTGTAAATTGTGGTCCAAAATCTTCGTATTTGAAGTCAGGAGGGTAATTATGTTTCATAAATTTCACATACTCTGGTATCTGTTTCTCTTGCCAGTACCACCTAAGGGGAGGAAAGGGAATAGCACATGAACAGCACAAATTACACCAGCTCCCTTTGCTATTCCCTCCCTCTACTCAATTATTACCCAGATTCTCCTCCTCACTTCCCCGTTAGTTTGACTTGCCCCTAAAGAGAGCTTAACCAAAACCAAACCTGTTGCCATCAATTCTAACTCCTAGCAACCCTGTAGGATAGAGTAGAACTGCCCCACAGGGTTTCCAAGGAGCGGCTGGTGGGTTCAAACTGCCGACTTTTTGGTTAGCAGCCGTAGGTAAACCAAAACTCCCTCTCTTTTTCCATCCAGCCCCTTGTGAAATCCACTCAGCTCATAAATTAGACTATTCTAGACAACCCCTGCCACCTACTCTCTCTTAAGTCTCACTTTCAAATTGCAGTAGGTAGTATGTGTCTTTAGCAGTTCCTTAGTGGTGCAAACAGTTAAGTGCTCAACTACTAACCAAAAGGTTTATGGTTTGAATCCACCCAGAGGCGCCTCACAAGAAAGGCCTGGCAATCTGCTTCTGAAAGGTCACAGCCTTGAAAATCCTATGGAGCAGTGCTACTCTGCACACATGAGGTCGCCATGAGTTAGAATTGACTCAACAGCGGCAACAACAACAAAGTATGTATCTTTACACAGTTGTTGCAGTTAGGTGCCATTGAGTCAGTTCTGACTCATAGCAACCCTATGTACAACAGAATGAAATACTGCCCAGTCCTGCGCCATCCTCACAATCATTGTTATGCTAAGTCCTTTGCAAAATAAGTGACTAAGGCTCCAAAAGAAAGACTGCATGCCTAAAACATAGCATGCACCAATTACACTCACTAGCAGAGAACAGGAGCCCCGGTGGCATAGTGGTCAAGAGCTCGGTGGCTAACCAAAAGGTCGGCGGTTCAAATCCACCAGCTGCTCCTTGGAAACCCTATAGGGCAGTTCTACTCTGTCCTCTAGGGTTGCTATGAGTCGAAAGAAACCAACAGCACGTAACAACAGCAGATAACAATAATTAATCAGGAAAGATATGTAAAACAGTTCAAAGTTGTAAGAAATTACACAAACATTTTTACATAGTTTTCAGGGCAAAATCTAAAAAGCAATTCTTTTTTTTTTTTTTGTGCAGCACCATTCATTTGGCAGTCTATTAATAATTAGGGATTTTTAAGGTACCACTCTGAAACTTTTTTTTTTTTAAAGTTCCTAGAGCCACCCATGGAGTTCCCGGGTGGTGCGAACTCTTAATGTACTGCCTACTAACCTAAAGGTTCGTTGTTAAAGTCCACCCAGAGGTGCCTCAAAAGAAAGGCCTGGCAATCTATTTCTGAAAAATCAGCCATTGAAAACCCTGTTGAGAACATACTACTCTGACACATATGAGGTCACCATGAGTCAGAAGGGATTCCACAGCAACTGGCTTGGAGTCCACACATGGTAACTTTTTAACAGTAAAGAGCCAATAAAACAAACAGTTGCTGTGGAGTGGACAGGTCCAAATTAACAAGCATTTCACATATCCATGAATTTATTTCTAACCGTCCTTAGTAACAGAACAACTAAAAATTGGTAGGCAGCAGTAGTACAGCATAGGACTTTCAGCCTGAGTCCCCATGACAGATAGTTTAGACCCAGGCTTCACCACTCATTGTATGACTCTGGCAGTCTGAATCCCCCCAGGTACCTTAGAAGAAAGGCCTCCTGATCTGCTTCCAAAAAGTCAGAGCCTTTAAAACCCTATGAAGCAGTTCTACTCGACGGCAACTACCACCAGCACAAATCGCTTAATTTCTTCGGGTTTAGTCTCCAGATGTTATGGTGTGATAACCACAACGTGACACGTGCGACCACCAACAGGCTGAGAAGCCAGATCCACAGAAAAAGTGCTTGAAAATGCTTTCAGTCACACCGAAGAAAAAAGGTCATTGTTACTCCAGCACCAACCCAATTAAGCAATAAATTATACCTTTAACCCGGAAATGCGAAACAGCGTTACGAACAGTGAGAAGTGAAACCGACAAGAAGGCAAACCCAGTGAGCCGGTCGTGGCTGGAGCCAGGGAAGCAAAAACAGGGTCAGGGGACAGAGGAAAGAGCGCTCACCAGAACCACTCGCTACCGAAACCGGGCACGGAATACACGCCCCAGTGGATGAAGATGCCGAACTTGGCTTGGTCGAACCAGGCCGGGAGCGGGCGGGCGTCCAGGGACTCCCAGGTGGGCTCGTAGCGCTGGGCGCCGGCGGCAGGGCGCGCGGGTGGCGGCAGCAGCAGCGGCAGCAGCAGCAGCTGGAGTGCGAGACGGGCGGTCCCCGGGCACCGCGTGTCCGCCGGGCCGGCCATCCGAACGCACGCTCTGCACTCTCCCGCGGGCTCCTTCCGCGTCTCCGGCTAAATCGGCCCCACAGCGTCACCTGACCAAGCTGTCCTTGTGACGGCCCCTCTCCACCAAGGGGTTGGGAGTGGCGCTCCGGCCCAATTGCCCCCAAGGGGCTGCATCGCTCACTTGCATAATAAAGGAGGCCGGCATACCCGCATGGCCACCCCGGGGCTTCTAAGCGAAGGTTCCTAATCAGTTTGCTCTGGGGGAAAAAAACTGCGACTGGTTCAGGGAACTGTGGCCAGCACCCTTCCCCCAAGATCTCGCACGGCCCTTAAAGAAACTGCCCGAGAGGGCGACGCGACCGATCTGCCTGGGGGGCTGCATGGCGAGTCCCTTCCATGGGCCCAGCCTCACTCCCGGACATGGCGAGTCCCTTCCATGGGACCAGCCTCACTCCCAAAAACTCGCTGCCGTCGAGTCGATTCTGACTTATACCGACCCTGTAGGCCATTCCCAAAGCACGGAGGAGTCGTCCAAACCCTCCCGGACAGCACTGAATGCAATTCAGATTGTTATAAACCTCTGCTTTTGCCCTCAAAGCTTCTGAGCCTGTTAGAAGCGGCTGCTGACCTGGAATATGCATCCCGTGAAATTATCAGTTTCTGATTCAGAAGGTCTGTTTTGGGGCTGAGAACCTGCGTTTCTAACAAGGCTCATGTGAGGCTCAACCACTGTATCAGAAGACAAGGTGACCGGACACAGGTGAAACCAGTAGCGTGATGTTTAAGGAAGCTGCAGCCTGGGGAAAAGAAGCTAGAAACTGGAAATGTTTAATCAAGGGAAATCATCAGAACCTCACTATTTCCCCTTCTTAAATGATTTGAGTAAAGCCAGACTTCCCACCCCTCCTCCTGCAAAATCCTTTTCATCCTTCAATGGCCAGTTTAAATGTCACCTCATCTGGGAAGCTTTCTGCCACCACCCTCCGCTCCCAGAATATTTTACTCTGTCTTCTGTATTCCCATAGCATCCTATTCCACTATGAACATAAGGATTCCTGCTTCATTTTGTTATTACGTAGATACAGACTTTGATGCCCCATTAGACTGAGAGCTTCTTGAGGGCAGGGATAAACCCATTGCCATGAGTCAATTCCTACTCATAGTGACTCTATAGAACAGAATAGAACTGTCACCGTAGGGTTTCCTAGGCTATAATCTTTACAGAAAACAAAAATCCTCACAACTGGACCAATAAGCAACATCATGATAAACAAAGAAAAGATTGAAGTCATCAAGGATTTCATTTTACTTGGATCCACAATCAACAACACACATGGAAGCAGAAGTCAAGAAATCAAAAGACGCATTGCATTGGGCAAATCTGCTGCAAAAGATCTCCTTAATGTGTTAAAAAGCAAAGGTGTCACCTTGAAGACTAAGGTGCACCTGACCCAAGCTATGGTATTTTCAATCGTGTCATATGCAATGAAAGTTGCATAATGAATAAGGAAAACTGAAGAAGGATTGATGTATTTGAATTATGGTGTTGGTGAAGAATATTGAATATACCATGGACTGCCAGAAGAATGAACAAGTCTGTCTTGGAGGAAGTACAGCCAGAATGCTCCTTAGAAGCGAGGTTGGTGAGACTTTGTCTCACACACTTTGGACATGTTATCAGGAAGGACCACTCCCTGGAGAAGGAAAGCATGCTTGGCAAAGGAGAGGGTCAGCAAAAAAATCAGCAAAAAAGAGGAAGACTCTCGATGAAATGGATTGACACACTGGCTGCAACCATGGGCTCAAGCATAACAACAATTGTGAGGATGCTGCAGGACCAGGCAATGTTTCGTTCTGTTGTACATAGGATCACTATGAGTTGAAACCGACTTGACAGCATCTAACAACAACAACAATCTTTATGAAAGCAGATTGTCACATCTTTCTCCTGTGGAGACACTGGTGGGTTCAAACTGCCAAACATTTGGTTAACAGCCAAGTGCTTAATCACTGAGCCACCAGGGCTCCTTGAGGGCAGGTATAGAGACCTTCATTTCTGTCTCCCCTGCATTTGAAGTAGAGCCTGGCATGGAGTAGCACTCAAAACATGTTCCTTGAAGTTCTTTAGTAAACTAGGGTTCTAATTATTTAGTGTTATGAACAAAGAGGAGTTCCTGGGTGGCGCAAATGGTCAGTGTGCTTGGCTGCTAACTGAAACATAGGAAATTGGAGTCTTTCTAGAGGTGCCTTGGAAGAAAGGCCTGGCGAGTTATTAGTTTAGAAAAATCAGCCATTGAAAACACTATAGAGCACAGTTCTACTCTGACACATGCGAGGTGGCCATGAGTTGGAAATGACTCCACGGCAACTGGTATGAACAAAGAAGGAAGTGGCACTAAGTAACTGTTGCCGTCATTCTCCCATCTGTGCCCCGGCTGTCACCACAGGTGAGCAGTGTTGATAGCTCCCCAGGACCACCGCTCCATCATGAGGGTCCCCAGTTTTCCCTCAGTGAAGGTGTCCTGGAAGAAAGGGCTCAGGGACTCCACCAAGCCTGTGCTATGAATTGCAATAGCCCTGAAAAAAAAAAAAAAAAAAAAAACCCTGTTGCCATCAAGTCGATTCCAACCCATAGCAACCCTATAGCCCTAGTTTGCAATAAAGTGAGGTGTTACAGATTGAATTCTGTCTCCCAAAGATCTGTGTTGGAATCCTAATCCCTATACCTGTTATGTTAGTGAGGCCATACCAGCGTAGGGCATGCACTAACCCTAATCACTTCTGAGTTATAAAAAGAGCAGATTAGACACAGAAGCAAGCACAAAGGGAGAGTGGGAGGGTAGAGGTGGAGGTTGTTGGGAGGTGGGTTGGGGAGGCAGGTAATACGTGAAAATCGCCAAGGAACCTAAGACATCCCGGGGCAGCAGAAGCTGAAATAGACAAGGAAGGATCTCTGCACCAGATTCACATCCTGAATTCAGACTTCTAGCTTCCTGAACTGTGAGAAAATAAATTTGTTTTTTTTAAAGCCATCTACTTGTGGTGTTTCTGTTATAGCAGCACTAGATAACTAAGAATTATGACAGTGAGTATTATCCACTCTCTGAAACCAGAATTATCTACAACCCCAGTGGCCACTGAATCCCCAGGGCACACTTCTACATAAAGATGGCCCCCTTAGCCACTATGCCTTGAAACCCCTCTAAACAGATGTTTGCACAATAAATGCAAAAGATATTTTTCACAGTGTCAATGGTGTAGTGAACTGTTAAAGGGACAGTAGACAAGGCAGTGGTGACCATGCAGCAATGGAGACTTGTCCTCTCATCAAGCATCATTTCTCCATTGAACCACATGTTCTGGAAGATTCTGTCTTCCAAACAAATTTCATTTATCACGTAACTTATATTCCCACGTACTTCAGTTCAAGAACACCAATCAGAGCTTCTGATCAACATGAACGCCACCACCCTAAGCATATTACTTGTCACTTCACTTGAAGGCAAAGAAACTTGTTTAGTTAATATGTAAACTTTATGATAAAAGATTAATTTCTGTAGGAAATACTGAAAATACATGAAAGACTTCCCTTAGTGTCCCCAAGGACATGTAAGAGTCCTAGAATACCTGGAACCACTGCTATAGGATTTGGAATAAATAAGAAATAGAATTATTTGGAATTGGAATGGAAGAAGAGATCCTACTCAAAATATTTGTTAAATGAGTGAAATCTATGAAATATTTCATAGAACATGGAGCTATACGGAAAGACCTGCATGCAATTTCTCTTACATTTCACATTTTATAGGATAACACTTTACAAAGCTATAGTCGTTGCACTTGGAAAGCTACTGCAGATTGAGCAATAGAACCACACCACACTAAGGCTTGAACTGTGTACTGGATTTTTTTAATAAAGGATCCTGAAAGCTGAGAGGAACAACAGGGTCTCCGTGTTCGCATGGCTCCTTTATAAGAGCAACTTGGGGTCATGGGCCTCAATGATAAACACTGTCCAGGAGCCCTGATTCCATCCAGATTCTCTGAGGCCACCTTGAGGTATCAGATGAAGAAAGTAGAAGGACGAGATCTTTGCCCCAAAGCAACAGGCATGCCTCCTATGAAACCACCACATCTGGCAGCCATGCACCCCTGTGTCTGGCAGCTGCAGTTACATGGGGTGACAGCAACTTCCCGCCTCCTACGTGGTAAAGGGTGGGAGGCTGGCACATGCCAATTTCTCGTTGCTGCCAGAGGAAGCAGTCCTACTGCTGATGTCCTCAAGGATATATTTAGCTGCTGAGGGTGGAGTAATTATCTGAGTGAGGCTCTGGAGGACACAATTTGGATCTCCATTTGGGAGTTAAATGACTGTCTCTAACCAATGGTGGTGCAGTGGTGAAGAGCTCAGCTGCTAACCAAACAGTCGGCAGATCAAACCCTCCAGCCTCTCCTTGGAAATCTTATGGGGCAGTTCTACTCTGTCCTATAGGGTCCCTATGAGTCGGAATTGACTCATCTGCAACAGGTTTGGTTTTTTGGTTTTTTAACCAGCCTGGGGAGTCCCAAGAATTACTTTGAAGTGGACAGTGGAAGAAGTGAAACATTTGCATCATAGCTGATGTCAACACACAGTCTCTGGAAATACAGAAAATAAGAGTTCCAAGCAAATTGAATCCAATCAATTCTTTATATGGTAACTAAACCAGCTTTTTGGAGGCCAGCACTCAAGGGACCTGCAGAGCCTGAACTTAAACCCAAGCATGTTAATCATTTGCACCACCCGGGGACTCCATAGAGATATAGTCATTAATCCTCACAGCAGCCCTCTGAGGTGGGTACTTTTTGAAACCCCATTCCATAGGTGAAGGCAAGAGAGGTAAAAACTTGCCCAAACAGTCCAAGGCCCATGATTTTAACCATTACGCTAAAATGAGTACAGCCGCCTGGACCCTGGTGATTCTGTGAATGATAACACTATGTTCGTTCATTCATTCATTTAGTTGCTACTTCTTCATATCATACATTCAAAATATAGTTTAGCCCCTATTCTGAGCCAGGCAGTTTCAATGACAAGAAAACAGACCCAGCCCTATCTCTCACATGGCTTACTCTCTTGGGGGAAATACGACCGTTAAACAAAGAACCACCCAAATATAATATTGCAAACTGAGGTACATGCTATGAAATACAGGATGCTATGATATCATATGGCACAGGCCCACAACCTAGTCCGGAGGCCAGAGAAGGCTTCCCTGAGGAATTAAAAATTTGAAATGAAGTCTCAAGGACAAGTAAATTAATTAGAAAACAGTGGGAGCAAGGGTGTTCCAGGCAGAAACAGCAGCATGGGTCAGGTGCCCAAAACACAAAATAAGCCCTCAAGAAGCTTCAGGTGTGGAGAGAGAAGCGCCCCCATAGAGGCAAGCACTGATGAAGTGCTGCTGAGAGGGAGAAGTGTGGAGCGTTTGAACAATTAGGGAGAGAGGGGGTAGGTTGTACCCTAAACAAAGTATAATAAGACTGTAAGGAAGACTAGATAAGTATCAAGCAATTTTCACAAGAGGTAGTCAAAGGATCTTATCTATTTTAGAGCCTTGAGGACTGTGTACTGCAGTAGCTGCAGATAGCACTAGAATTAAGGATATCAAGAGTCAGTACTGAGGGAGCAGGAGAAAGGTGGCGTGCAGAACTCAAATTAATGTAAAAAGACCAGACTTACTGGTCTGACTGAGACTGAAGGAATCCTGGAAAGCATGGCCCCCGGATTCTCTGTCAGCCCAGAACTAAAACAATTTCCGAGGCCAGCTCTTCAGACGAAGATTGGATTGGGCTGTGGACATAAAATGGTACTTGTGAAGAGTGTGCTTCTTAGCTCAAGTAGATACATGAGACTAAATGGGCAGCTTCTGTCCAGAGGTGAGATGAGAAGGCAGAGAGGGTTAGGAACTGGTTGAATGAACATGGAAAATCAGGGTGGAAAGGAGGAGTGTGCTGTCACAGTATAGGGAGAGCAATTAGAATCATGTAACAATGTATGTATAAATTTTTGTATAAGAGACTAACTTGAAATGTAAACTTTTACTTAAACTACAACAATAAACAAACAAACAAACAAAAAAAGTCAATCTGTGGACTGAGTCTGACAAAGAAGAGGTTACTGTGACTAGAGTCCCATGTAAGGCTATT